TTTTTATTATTCAATTCCCATCAAATTCGTTTGAATAAAAATTCATGACCACGATTTTTGAGCCTTTTTTCTTCTTCTGATCCACATGGAAATTTGTAAATGATGCGGAAGGAGGAAGAAAAGGTCAGGGTTGATATCTGTGATGCTACTGTGACTTAGAGAAATTTTTTTTGTCATAAAATATTAAAATGAATTTAATTGTGCTTTGCACCGGCAGTTTCAGTATTGGAATCTGAATTCTAAGTCGAAAAAACCTGCGAGCAAAGGAGGTAGCTTAATTCCAAGAATTGAAAATGTCCAAATTTCAAATTAAAGTGTAAATAATACTTGATTGTGTCCAGTTCGCTCGAAAAGCCATTGAAGCCAGCCCAAACAATCAGATTTTATTAGGCCTTATCTCAAGTTGATTAGCTCCAAATAATCAAACTTCTGTCTACCAGCTCTGGCATAAGGACATTCAACGATATTTTGTGGATACTTTTCGGCTCATTTCATTGTTTTTACTTCTTTTTCTATCTATTAATGTAGTTTTTTGCTTCATATCCTAACAATATTTCTTATGCTAATGACGGAAGTAAAGACGTCGATAAAAGGAGCAAGCAAGAAAAGAAACTTTTTTTTCCCTCCTTCCGCGCGCCTTTTCTTGTCTTCGTCTTCATCTTTTTGCTCATTGACGATGAAAATTGTAATCAGAAGACCCGACATGAAATCTTCTCAATTTTTTCCGCTCCTCTTCATTTCTTTGTTGCTTCTTTTTTCCTACTTTTTGTCTTCCTTTCCTTTCTCTCTACTCATGTAATAATTTTCAATGAAACAGATTAAGTTCGTGACATAATATAAAAAGAAGAAGCTCGAAGTTTGTTGCTATCGCTGCTTCAGCTATTTCTACTGTATATCAAAACTCAAAAGACGTTGTTTTAAGACAAAAAAAAGTCTATCAGAAAAAAAAGTGAATAAGACAACATCATCATTACATCACGTTACACGAGGGAATTTAATATTGTGGATGAATACAATAGAATAAAAGAAATAAAAGAGTGAGGAAAGATATAATTTTTTTTTTGCCTGCTACTTCTTGTGAAACTAAAAAGTTCTCAACACAATGAGAAAGTTTCCATCTCTCATCGTTCACTGATACTAAAAATATAAACACGAACTACACATATAGATGTGAATAAATATCTCTATCTGTACATGTCTGTATATTGAAAAGTTCAAGACAGACGGAGGGAGAATATTTTTATCTGATATAGGTAGATATAATGTAGATATATAGCTGAATGACGATAAGTGGGTGGATAGAGTGAATTTAAGTGGAGAAGAATCCAAGGAAGCATAAAATTAGCTTTATTTCTACTTTTGAGCATCAAATTTAATTTCTATTCGTCTTGTCTTTGTGCAAAAAAAAATATGTCAGAATTGTCTGAGTTCTAAAGTGACTTTGAAGACAAGATAGTTTTTTTTTTCTAATTTACAACAAAGTTATTTAAATTTATTGAAATTAGTGTTGCTAAATTCGTATTTTTTAGAAAATTGTTGGATCTGATGTTCATGGCATCTTGTTTCATCCCCAATCATCCTTCAAATAATTAATTTTAAATTGACTACAGGATCAACTTTAAGACTATCAGTTTTAAAACTTTTCTATGTTATTCCTGTTTTAATATACATTATAACAGCAACATAGCCATAACAAGAGAGGAGAGGTTTGGAATTTTATTTTGATTGAAAACTTCTAGATTTTTTTTAAGCTAGAAGGGAAGGATATGACTCTGAGAAATCTGACATTCTCATTAGGGGTCGTTCACTTATGACGTCCACCAAAAAACCTGATTTTTAGACCCCCCTCCCCCCTCTGTCACAAAAATTCTATAGAAAAAAATTTCCATTGTTTTAACTGTCACAAAATCCTAGACCCCCCTCCCCCCTAAATATCGGACGTCATAGGGGCTGTTCACTTATTACGTAACGCGAAAAAATGACTTTTTAGACCACCCCCCCCCCCCCCTCGTAACCAAATTTGTATGAAAAAAAAATTTCCTTGTTTGAACCGTAACAAAATCTTAGACCCCCCCCTTAAAAGCGTTACGTAATAAGTGAATAGCCCCATAAGTCAACGGCCCCTAAATACTTTCGTAAAAACACTAATTTAAATAAATAAAAAAAATACCGGTAGACACAAAGCTCTATTTGGTAGGCACATGGAAGCTTCACGCAGTTCAGAGCTCATTTTAAATACAAATTCCTATATCATCGCCTAATCTACAAGGATTCAGCTCTCTGCTTGATAAAACAAAGAAAATCAAGCTCAAAATTGAATCTTTGAACTTTGTGTTTCTTGATTTACAAATGTCTTGTGATTAAAATATTGAAATTAAATCCACATTGAATTCGAAACTTTTCAAGCCAGCAGTAGTTGAGATTTAAAATAAAATAATGCCAGATATGAAGTCATGATTAAAATTAAGAGTCAATATTCCATTTACTGAATTAATTTATAGAAAAACTTTTTATTCCGTAGAATTCGCTATTTTCTTAATAATCTTGCAAACTTTTTGGTATGAATTCTTTGACCCGTCACAATTTGGGATAAATTTTCTATTTTTAGAAGTTTCCTTCCACGAAAGAAAAAAGTTTTATTAATTACTTTTAAAAGTTCTTTATGTTTTTTAAAATGTTAATTGACAAAACCTTTCAATGTCAATATTGACTAGCTCTAAAATATATATTTTAAAAAATCACTGAGCTATGTGGGATGTTGACAGTAAAGTTCTATTCCAACTTTTCCTGACAAGTGATTTACTTTGTCACATTCATTTTGAGAGCAACAAAAATAATATCGACAAACAAAAGTTATACAAATGGAAATAATTAGGGGGACATTAAATGTTATTGGAAAATTGGAAAAATAAGAGGGTGGAAAATCAACAACCTCTATAAATATTCATTGTAACGATATACGATCGAGGCAATTTAGAAGAAAATTGGAGAAAATTTTCTTCTTGGAATGCTCAATAAAATCACAAAGTTTTGACCTCAATTAAATTTAGCAAGTATTTATTTAAACAATATTGTGATTGAAAAAACAATAAAATGGTCCTTAGATGGTTTTGCCAAGAGGGTCTTTGTCAACGTAAAGATATCAATGTCTTTAGAAAATTTGAAATTGAATTAATTCAATTTAAATTTTAATTGAATAAATTTTCATGTCATTTTTTAAATTTTGACTTCATTAACCAATCATGTCACCAAAAAACGGGGGTTTTTTGAAACCCTTCTTAGCTTTTGAGATCGCATGGTAGATGTTTTAGGTTGATCCTTCCACAAAATTATACTTTTCAAAATCAAATCAAAATTCTCAACTTTTTACTTCAATTATTTCAACTCTCAAAATGAGTCCCTTCCATCACCAGACCAATCTCCATCAAAATTTTTCCCCATAGCAATGGAAGTTCATCTTTGAAAGCATTAAATATTTACTTCCGAAAGTAAATAAATTAACAGAAAAAAAATTTATAAATTCATTCTTGAATTAACTTTCAATTATTCATTATGGTTAGATTCTGAATTGCCTACCTACGTTTCTAAACTTAGATGTGGTTTCAACCTTTTTTTTTCTCCGTTTAGAAATTGACAAAATAAAAGATTAAATATTACAAAAAATCACGTGTTGAAAATTTGATGGCAAAGAAGAAGCTTGGATGAAAATTAAAATAAGAGTTGGAAATTTTATGGAAGCTGTTTGAAGCTTTTTGAGTGACTAAGATGCATTTAAAATCGGAAAAATTGATTGATTGAAAAATTGTTTTATGCAAATCAAGATATAAGAAGACATAAAGTAGCCAGAGGAGGGGTTTGGAGTCAAATTCCATGCCTTTTTTATAAAATTTATTAATTTTATTTTGTTTTTAAAAAAAAATCTTAAAATCTTCAAAAAAAACTCCACCATTCCCTGGAAAAATTTCTGGCTCCATCCCTGGTTTGATCATAATCTTATTTTTTCTCTATGTAAATTTTTTCGGAATAAGGGGGGGGGGGGGGGGTCGTAAATGACATTAAAAAATAATTATTACCAAATTCTGTTCAAAAATGCAAAAGGGATCATAAATAGCGTTTTTTTAGTAATAGTCAATGCCTAAGTGACTTTACTAATACCTCAACATATAACCAGCAACCCAAAATGACTCAGAACTTTTTTTAAAAACTGACTCGAAAATAACAAAAAATTGATTTATTTTCCATGTTCAATAAGAATAAAAAATTCAAGCCTGCCTAAAGTTATGTTATCCTATTAAAATGTTGATCAGCTTCATTCACTCAAAATCTCACTTATCCATGAACTCTGTAGATATTTATAAAAACTCATAAAACTTTCTTGTTCTTCTTCTTCCTTCCTAGTCAAATATTGAACATCCAAAAAAGGGGGTGTGAGTTACACACAAACAAAAAAGTAAAAAAATAAGCACGAAGAAGTGAAAAAAAACTTTGAACAATGTCGAAAAAGTGCTTTTTTGGATGAAAATTAAAAACACTAAAAAAGAGTTTTCCTCTTTTTAAACAGAAAAAAAAAACATTTTGCCAATATATTTTTTCTTGTGCTTATAGGAAAAAAATAGGAGAGGAAAAGAGTCGAGTCAGTGCTTATCACTTTTTTCCGTCTGCTCTGACACAAAACATAAAAAATTAATTAAAAAAAAATTCTCATGCTAAAAAATAAACAAAATAAGGAGAATTCTCTCGAATGGTCAGAGAAGAAGCAACTCATGGTGAATAGTGGAAAATAGTTACTGCCAAAAAAAAAGTTCTCTTACTCTCTTACTCATCTGTAATTGTGTTTTTGGCTACCCAAACTTTCTTTCATATCTTCCTATTCTTTCACTTTTTCACCCTTAAATTCACGCATCGTAGGGTTCTTGTTCCTCATAATATATGTACATGTGCGTCTGTATATGAAAATAATAAAGTTAAAATAATTTATATAAAGTGAATACTAAAAAAATTATAAATTAAACATAAAAAAAATTTCGAGTTTTAAGAGTAGTAAAAAAATATCCCGTGAGGCATAAAAGGCCATGCTACTTTTTCTGACACTCATAATTGCAGTCTATAAAGTTAAAAACATGCCCGCAATACCTTCAACCTTTCTTACATCGCTTTTTTATGGACTAAGTTTATTGCTGTCTACTTTTCCTGTTGGTAAGTTCCGCAATTTTTTTTTTGTTCCTTTACTTTAAATATATTTTTTTTATATTCACATTTATTTTATTCTTTCTTCACACCGACATTTTCTTATGTTGCTCATGTCAGAGCTCATGTTAAGTGTCATATAATATAAAGGAGCAAGTGGTTGTGATTGCTCAATGATATAGATGTAGATGTGAGGTTTATAATGTCACTTCGTTTGTGGATTTTAACTTTAAGTACCGAAATGAAAAATCATCATTGCTCTGTGTGTGTGCAGGAAGTGGGCAGTGGGCAGGTTATAAAGTTTGAAATTTGTAACACACTTTTGAGATTAAAATTTAATGGAAGTAATTACAAGGACTAACTCCGATGATAAATTTAGAATGTTGTCATCTGGTTTCAATGGTCCTTAGTCAAGGAAGAATTAAATTAATTGGTAACCCTGCAATGGAATGATTTTGCGTATGTCAAAAGGGCGGGCTTTTGATTAAAAATAGAATTGGCTCCATAGGAGATGACATTTACTGTCCTGAAACTTTAGACGGTTTCTGGTTTATTTTTGGCGATGATCAAACTAATGTAAAAGAATTAATAAATTGTGATGTAAGCTGAAATGCTCAATCATTTATAATTGGAATGACAGAAAAGATCTTGAAGTAAATCATGGTGCGTTCCTTTAACTCTCATTGTCTTTTAAGAAATGTAACCAAGAAACTGACATTTAAAACTTCTGAAATAATAACAAGACTGGCATTGGAAGCTGTTATTGAGATTTGAACTTAACAGCTCAAAATCAACTTTAGCGACCCACACTTTACCAACTGAGCTATAAAGGCACTTTTAACTCTTTAGGATGTTTTCACGAAACCGTATAACTTTTAAAAAATTCATTTCCTCTATGAAAGCTCCTTCAAATCCACAAATCAGTACTAAGGAACATATAAACTAATTCCACCATCTACAAAACCAAAAGTTTCAAAAGCAGACAATTTTTCAAGCAATTATTCCATTTTATTATTCCATTGTCCAAAAACTTGGGCAATTGAAGTCACAATCCTCTTTCATTTAATTCATACATTATCTACAGATTACACAATTAAGTCTATATATACTGCCAGAAACACTCATACCTTTCTTTGTCCCTAAACTTTCGTTTTTATTACCGGAACATAAAAAAAATCTTTCCGTCCTATATGGAAGAAGACTAAGAGAACACTACTTGCAACTTAAAGACATTTAATGCTCTGCCTCCTCAATCCACATTTTTACATCCTTTTATGTTAAAAGAATGAAGAAAAAAAAACCTTTTATAATTTATGTTTAAGCACTGTTCTCGACTCTTTTCTTCACCACAATTTATTTTTTATCGCATTTCATTGTTTGCATTTTAAAGCGATTATCTTTCATCCGATTTTACCATAAAAGAGACGACTTTAATTAATGTTCTTTTTTTTTTCATTTCATATTTTTACAGGCACTCATGCTGGTTCACAAGAGAAGCGTTTGTTACATTCTTTATTGGATTCATATAACGTATTAGAACGGCCGGTTCAAAATGAATCGGATCCGTTACAGCTTAGTTTTGGATTAACTTTGATGCAGATTATTGATGTTGTGAGTATTTTTTTTTTCAAGTTTTTAAATTTAATTTTTAAATGAGAATATTGCAAGTTTAATTTATGGATAAATGATTTTATTCATCATATGCTAACTTCTTTTAAAGTTAATTCAAGCTAAAGAAAAAATTTTAATGAATTTCGGAAGCAAAATATAACTTTTGCCTTTTGAAAGATTTAAAAATATTAATGATGAGATATTAATATAATTTTCAATATTATTTCCGACAAATTCTCATTGAATGTCAAAATTTGAGTGCACTTTTATGTAAGCAAAGCTAATTTCAACTCAAGACAGGATATTCATGGTTAGAAACGATTTAGAAGAACTGATAAGCATCCTGGATATAAAAAAAATTAAATTTTAACTTTAGAGACTTTTAAATCGCTTTAAGAATAATAGCTCCACATTATTAACTTAACAACGTTATTATGTCGTATCAACCCAACCCTAATCGGTCCATACTTGACTATACTTGACCATACCTGGCTATACTCGAAAATACTTTACTCTAGTATTTAAAAGAACTTCTAGTTAAAAAGCCATCCTCATTTTTATGCAGTTTCTGAGGCGGAGTATTTTAAATGATGATTTTTGACTAAAAAAGAGATGAAAAAAATTCAAAAGTTTTTTTTTGTGGGAGGTTTAATGAATACATTGAAGTCTCTTAAACATTTTCTGTTGTCTGATTTTCATAGCAAATTGCTTTAAAATTGCAGCAAAAAATATTTTAAAATTTTAAAAGTTTTAAAATAAATAAACTTTTAATTAAAATCTCCCAAAACAGACAAAATTTTCATTTAAAGTTTTTTTTGTCCATCCCACAAAATTTCCATATAAATTATCTCCAGTAAATTAATTTCATCTCTCAAGTTGAAATCGTAATTAAACAACAAAAATGAGAGAACTGGACAACATAACGCAGTAATAATGAACTCTAATTTCACAATTAGATTGTTGAAAAGCACACAGTAATTAATTTTGTAACATTAAATTCAACAAACAGAAAAATTTGCCATTCTTTCAAATGCATTAAAATTTCAAAATTTATTTTCGACACATCGTTCGGTAGCATTTTCATTTTCCGAGGTTTTTCTCGAGTATCAAAAATTAAATGAAAAAAAGCTTTACCACTGAAAAAACCAGCAAAAACACATTAAAATTCCTCCTGGTTGGTAGTAAAATGCACAAATGCAATATGGTTAAGGGGGGTTGGATGGGGGTGATGGGTGGAAAATGAAATTTTTTTTTGCAGCCACTGAAAAATGTTCTTTCAATTGTATTTAATGCTATACAAATAACATTGACCAAATTTTTTGAGTTCAACCAGACTAATTTTTTTTACGGTGATAATGAATGAATAATTTGTTTTCCTTTTCAATTATTTGTAACACATTAAATCTATGGTCGTTTGCATTTTAAGTTGAGAGTGAATTTTGGTTTTTTGATGTTGGAATTTTTAATTAAATTTACAGAAAATCTGCATTGAATTAATTTTGGAATTAAAATCAGAGAAATATTCATGTTTGCATGATGCTTGTAGTTTGGGATATTTTAATTGTTTGGTTTAGGGTCCATTGATTCATAAGCGTAGCCAGCTAACAAGTCTTTCCCTAGACATAAGAATTGCTCCATCAAAAACATATAAACGCTCTTAAAAAGAGGTGCTTACTAGAAATAGTTCAAAGTATTCAAATATGTTAAATCTTTAATTAAACTGACTTATTCATTAAGTTTTGTTCATATACGGTCTCAAAAGAAGGAATTGAGAGTTTATTACTTTCAATTTGTTCATACTTTCTCTTTGACATCACCCAAAAGCTGGCTTAAGCTGTCTTTAGCCCACCAAAAACTAAGAACGATCCCTAAGTTAAGATCCCATCACAAAGAAAATTAATACAAAGAAATTAAATCGTTAAAAGATATCAACTGTTGACAGATCAGCAACAATACAAATAAACTTTAACCTAGCAAAGCATTATGTCTGTCATCATTCCAATTATAAACTTTTTAAATCAATCTTGCACAAAAAAATAATAATTAATTTTCATGAACGCTCCCCATTCTCTTTAATCCATACTGAGTCGTGTACAAAGACAAAACTAATCAGTGCATCGTGAATCCGTAAAATGAATATGTTTGTGCATAAGTGGCATGCATGAGTAGCAGAAAATAAAAATTATTTTCTCATTTGCTCGTAGCTATAATATTAAAGTACTAGATACTGCAGTGACAAATAGAATAAAAGCTATTTTTAGATTAAGAAAAAAGGAAAATAAAAGAGGCAAGCATGTATGTATGGCAAAAAAGGCTTTTGTTTGCATCAACAATGAGAGATAAGGAGGCATGTATATGAGTTGATAGACAAAAAAAAAAGAGGGGATAAAGATTAGAAATTTCACATGTCTTTTGCTTCTTTTTTTTTGCCAGACAATTCATGTATGCAATTTTCATATAAAACCACACTAAAACAGCAAAAAGGACTCCAATGAATTGTTAGGTAAGGCCTAAGGAGTAAATTGAATGTATGAGCAATTCTAATATACTTATGAAGAAAACAAAAAAAAGTGGGAATATGGCATATGCTCGATTAGTTGCTGTATAAATATTTGACGTAGCATTCAAACATTGTTACCGAATATATTTTCATTATGTGTTGGCAAATATTTAACTCATATCATCCCTCTTCTTCCTATGATCTTTATATTGTAAAATGTACCGTAGGTGCGTATAATGCCGAAACAAACATATTCAGTGAGATTGAGGTGGTGTGGGACAATATAATTTTATAGTATTTACATTCTCATTGTAAGGCAGAAAGCAGCGAATGAGCAGAGAGAATCTGTGTTTAAGGACAGAAAGAAGCTTTAGGGAAAAATTTCACGTCAAAGCACTCTTTCATTCTCAGATTTCTAAAGGGATGGAATGTTAAAGGTTTTGCTAATCATCATTTTCGAAGAACTATTAGCTCATAATTCGCTACTAAATCTCTCAATCGTCTTATCAAACCTCAAAACTTAAAGAGCTTTGTTTCTTTTTGGATGACGCTTAGATCACATAGGACTCACGTGCAGTTGTTGTTTGAAATTGGATCGAATTATTTTCGGACCGAGATATTCTGAATTTTCACGTCTAGTTTGACTTATCTAATCAAATGAGAATCCTTGACTTTATTAAATTCTATGTTTTTTTTTTCGATAGCAAAACATATCGTCAAGTCTTTCAATTACTCTTTAAGTACTGATATGCCTTGCAAAGGTCTGATTACATGTTGAGGCTTTAAATAAGCTGTTAATACTTAATTTTAGGAGCTTAAGGAATTTATTACTGAATATTTTACTGAAAAAGTAGTTGCCTTTACAACTTGTCGCAAGTAGGAATCGACCTATCGTTTTTATGATTTTTGGCTCATTTTTACCGTTGAGCTTTTTGGAGTTGCGGAGAAACCTGACCAAATGCTAACATAAAATATTTTTCCATTTGAACAGTATCATGCGGCTAAACTTAAGAATCTTAAAATCGATCTGCTCTGACAAATAAGTATGTATAAGTCTTAAATATCATGATAGAAAAGCTGATATTGTTCGACATTGTGATAGCTTTAATATTGAATTTCACTTCTCTACTTCCGAAAATTGGACAAACAAAAAAGGTATACAGGAAGAAACCAATCAAATTGAAAATTAACCTTATCAACCATTTACAGCTTCAATCAAATTCCTCTTTTGTTTGATACAAGAGAAAAAAAAAAAGATATTCATTGAACCTAAGAACGTTCCTATTTTTTCGTCTCAAAAGTAGCTCAATCAATACATCTCACATTCAAATTCGGGGTTTCTATTTTACATAAAAAAGACATTTACACACAAAAATTGTGGTAATAGCAATGGATACGAGAAAATTAAAGTAAAGGAACTCAAAGAAGAAGTCTCAATGTTATTAAAAATTCATTTAACCAAATTTTTCTATTTCCATTCGACAATCGAGAAGGAAAAAAATGTGACAATATAAGACATCACGATAGCAGACCCTTTTTGTCGCAATCATTTTTGGGCTTGTTCTTTTATTTGATGATCAAGTGATTGGAAAAATTGACCGAGAAAAGGAGGGGTTTATGATTTTGCTAAAGTCGGATGCGACTTTTCATGTTCAGAAAGAAAAGTTATTGAATAGCTTCATTGAAGCTATTTTTAAAAGGAAATTTGTGGTGCTTCTAAATGGAATTCATCTAAAATTTTTTAATGCATTTTACTATCAGAAAATAAACACTATTGTCGGTCTGTTCGTCTGTCAGTCTAGCTATCTCCTACACCAGATTAAGGTTTTTTGATGTGGTTTTTGGCTTATAATGTGTGTGCTGAGTCTGGCAAGAGCTGACCACAAATCAGATCACTGGCTGACAACATCACTGACGCTTTTCAATCCAAAAAGGAAACAAAATGATGGGATTCAAACCATCCCTCTTAATAAAACCTTATTTAATCAAACCATGCCCACTTTATTACATTACAATTATCCAAATGTCAAAGCAACCCAACCTCCTGCACCTTTGTGTCAAAAAATCTACATCATACACAAGAAAGCAACATATCCTGTGAACACTTAGTGGAAATAATTAAACAACTTACCATTTCTTATTAATCGCAACCCAAAATACACACCTACGCATAGACTGAAGCTGCCGCCTTTCACATTGTTCTACTTTTGCATTTGTAAAACTTTTTATGGTTTTCTGGTCTTCTTTTTCTTTACTATGCTATTGTTCTGACAGAACGATAGGTTTGAAAGGATCTTCATCTCGTTTTTAGTCTGCCGATTATGGAAACAGATTCTGACATTAAATTTAATTTTCTGCCTCCCCTTTTGTCCTCTCTTTTTTTGTTGAGCTGAGGGAGAATCATGGTCTTACCTGAGTTAATGCAGATTATAAAACTTAAATAATTAAGGTAAAGGTTGCAATAATATTCAATTCAGATTTTAAGCTTCAAATGGTTAAG